TTATGTATGATCAGTCATCTAAAGACGATTTAAAGTATATAGAACATAAAGGTGTAGGGAAGGTGGGACGGGTAGGGGAAGGGTAAAAAGGGAAAAGAAAAAATGTGAGATAATGAAAAGATGAAAATAAAGTGTTTGTAGATGGGGGGGAGGAGGGGGTGAAGGGAGGGCAGGGACAAGGGGAAAAAATGAGAACCAAGACCTGTCATGCAGAGGTACAAGATCCCAACAATGAATGTAACTGTACTGTATCCCTAAAATGTACCAATAAACTCAATTAAACTGAAAAAAAAGTATATAGAACAATGTGCATGGGTTACACATAAGCAGGATGACATTTTATATAAAGGACCTGAGCGTTCTTCTTTGGTATCTGAGGTTGATGTCCAGGACCCAGTCCTTTACAGATTCCAAAGGGAAAATGTACATCACAGGTTAATGATGAGTGCTGAGGGGGTAAGAAGTGTTGGACGGGGAGGTTGAAGAATTTTAAATAGAGGGCCGGTGCTTTATCTCAGTGGTGCCACCACCTGCCTCATTCAATACTCAGTACAAAAAAAAAAAAAAAAAAAAAAAAATACAATTTTAAATACAGTGACTAAAGAAGTTCTCCCTGAAGAGATGCCATTTGGAAGAAGGCCAAGGGCTGTGGGGAGTGCATTCCCAGCACATGAACGTCAAGTGCAAAGGTCCTGAGGTGAGCACACGCCTGGGACATTTGAGGACTGGTGATGAGACCAAAGTGGTTAGAGCAGAATGAACAAATGAGACTGAAAGAATGATATGGGTCAAAGAGGTAAACAGGGGGTAGAGCACGTGCATACAAGGTGGACAGTGCTGTGAATGAGAAGGGAGACCATGAAAGCTGTGAGCAGAAGAGTGGCATTTTGACAGGACCCTCTGGCTGCCAAGCCAAAAGCAGGCTGAAGGGGCTGGGGAGAAGCAGGAGGGCGGGTGCAGTGGGCTACTGCCCCCTTTCCTTCTCTTCTACTTTCTCCTGGGGTCCCTCCTTCAGTCCCCTTCCCCTCAGGCGCTGCCTGATCTGCTCCAACTCCCTCCCAGGACGGGAGAGCTCCTGAGAGGCTGGATGCCTTGGGCTCCACAACAGGGTCCCAGCTCCCCTCCCAGCCTGGCCTCCCAGGCCCCTGCCACTCAGTCAAAGCCCCAAACACAGCGAACCTCCTGAGCATTTTCAAATACACCCGCACAGTCCGCCTCTGCCCCTGCCCCCTGTCCCTGGCACTCTCCTGCCGCCCCACACCTGTGAGGTCCATCTCAAATCCTACCTGATTCCTCGGCTAGAGGTCCCCTACCTGCCTTTGTCCTCCATACCCATCTGTTCTCTTTTTAAGCCCCTGAATGATTTCCACTCTTATGTGTCCCATCTCCCTCAGGAGATCCTAACCTCTGTGAGGGCTAGCTGTACTTCACAAATTGCCTAACTGCCACAGCATGGAGAATGGAACCTTCTAGAAGAATTACTTTGAATTTAGTGATATCAACTTTTTTTTTTTTTTTTTTTTTTTTTTTTTTTTTTTTTTTTTTTCGTGGGGCTAAACTTGGGGGTTCGCGTCTTGG